AACCCTCCAAAGAGACCAAAGACCGAAGAACCAATCTTCTTCACGGAGGACGACGCACAAGGGGTCCGCTACCCCCACGATGACGCGCTTGTCATTAAACCAAGGATCAACGACTTCGAGGTCAGACGTGTACTCGTAGATTCGGGCAGCTCGGCGGACATCCTCTTTAAATCGGCATTTGACCAGCTACAGTTACAGAGGAGCGAACTAAAACCCGCAAACACTCCCCTGGTGGGTTTCAGCGGAGAGGAAGTCAGGCCCCTCGGAAAAATAACAGTACCTGTGGAAGTCGGCCGATCACGCATATCCTACGGGCGGTGGTCTCCACCTACTATTTGGCCATGAAGTTCCCTACGGACTTCGGTGTGGGAGTAGCACGGGACAACCAGCTCGAGTCCCGCAAGTGTTATGTTGCCGCCCTGAAGGGAAAAACCAAGGCAACCGACGACCTCGAACTATAGCGACCTGCGGAGCAAGGCGAGGAACGAGCTTCCCCCACAGAGGAAACAGTCGCAATCCCGACTTCGGCTACGGACCCAGCTCGCACACTCCAGATCGGTGCTTNGAGGAGACAGGTAGTAAGCCCGCCTGCACCCGGGGAGAGGACCCGCTTGCTTCTTAAGCATCAAGATTGAAGAAAAAATCTCCAAGTCCAACGGAAAGCTCTCATCACAGAAAAGGGAGATTGTCCCCACCAAGTTTCGAATGGAATTCAGGTGAAGCTGGCCGACTGTCACGCCGAAGTGGTTCAAGACACTCGGGGGTGGAAAGGCAATCGCAGCCCCGCGGCGAGCTGCTCCTGGAATATTACGATCTCATCAGGACCGTGTTCCCAAGGAAAGCCACCCAAAGGTATGAAATAAGCATACTCCCCGGGCAAGTTATAGTAAGTAACGAGGGATTGGAGCCCCTCGGGTGTCATGGTCGAAGGGCCGAACTTGTCTAACATCCGATCCCGGCGAGAGGTGGACGCCAAACTACCCGAAGCGCCACGGCCTACGGGCCCGAACTCTTCCTCGAGCTCTACCTCCGGCTCGCTAGGGCTATCGGGGGATGCAACTTGGTTCGTAGAACCTGCATCAAACCCGCTGAAAGGACTATCTGAGCCATCCGAGCTAGACATCGGGAGTAATGAGATCCAGGAAAGTACTCACCCGGACAAAAGCTGTAGACCACAGGAGCTCGGACGAACGGAAGACCTTGAGCGCAAACTAAAAAAACCTGGACGCGAACTGGATGCGAGCTGAAACTCAGACGCGAGCTCGAGAGAAATACAAAATCGACAACAACCGGGGTCCCCCACCCCCGCTATTTATGCTCACAGTGACCGAAAGGCAACGGCTTAGATCAAAGCCAATCCAATGGCCTACGGCCGCCCTGACCGTGCGTCCCCCGAGACCGAGACGTGATTGGCGCACGTCTTTCTGAAACTGACAGCGCCGACGCACATCTTTTCGAAACTGACGGAACGCCAGCGCACGTCTCCTCAGAAAAAACGGCAACGGCACGTCTTTTTCAAATTTGAAAAAGCGCCCGCTATCGCGCCCCCAAGTGGCGTGCTTTTTTTTTTGAAATTTCGAAACAACACGCGTGCCGCCACATCTATCAGCATTTAGACAGGCCGACGCGCTTCCCGCATAAATGGACGCTCAAAGAAGCCCAAGAAACCCTGACAACGCACCTCGCGCCAGCAGAACCAAGATTCAAAGTGCAGGACAAATCTACCTGACACCTTGCGAACGCCAGGGCAAGACCCTTAGCACGAGGAGTGGGGGGCAATTGATGAAGGAAGATTTGGCCCGACCTCGCAAATCACGGCACGTGGCAAAAAAGCAAGTAGCTCGGCACTTAAAACAGCGTACCGGGGGTACAACG